CCTCAGGTTGGCCCACGAAGCTCCCTCCGGCGCTCAGGGAGGACGGATCAGCGTCCGTGACACCCTCTGCTCAGGGCTGCGCATCCCACGGGCTCCTGGCGCAGCACGGAGGAAAGTCCCTGTCCCCGTGGCCCCGCTTTACCCAGGCTGTGCAGAGCTGCCAGCGGCGCCGGGTTGTTCAACGCGGGCTGGGAGCTCTCGACGGTCAGAAATGCACGGCCCGCGCTGCCACACACCTGGAAAACACGGACCGAGGCCTTGATCTCGATCCAATGGGATGTTGTGGTTGGTGCTGTAAAAACACACATGCTGAGGGCACGAGCACGGCCTTGCTCTCTTGGAAAAGCGCTGCGAGCCGAGCCGCCGGCATCCGCGTTAACCAGACGGCTCCCGAGGGACTCGGCAGCTCCCAGGAGCAGCCGCGGAGACGCTCTTTTCCCTCGATTCCAGCATTTCCAGCGTCTCCTTCCACGTGACGGATCTGAATGCTGAAATCTCTCTCCAGCCAGAGGATGGACACTAGAGGATGCCACCAACCACAGTAGAGCAGTTGCATTTCCCACAGGTTAATTTCTTTGACAACGGATGAATTTCCCTAAAGCTGTTAAAAATAATGAGAGGAAAAAAAGGACATCATTTTGATCCTTTTAAGGGCCTTTTTCTACTATTACTCTTCATCGTCAGCCCAGGATGGGTCAGGTAGGAACAACGGGAGCATCTTCCCATGAGGAGAGGCCAGGTCACTCCTGCTGAGGATGAACCCTGCTCGGAGAAGGCGAGAGCAATCCAGAGGCAAATCCCGATGGGAAACCCCGATGCCAGCACTAGGGATTGACTAGGGAGCGACTGCTGCAGGGATCCACGGTCCTCCCCAGAGAAACTGCCACAAACCAACTGTGGAGCTCCTCCAACGGGCTGCTTGGCCCAGGAAAAAGAAGAAAAAAATAAGTATTGGCGGTAGCTTCCTTCTCACCTCTTCTGAACACCAGCTCACTTGATGGAAAAATGTAGACAAGTACGTCAGAGACTGAATTAGTGTAACTTTTTTTTCCTTTAAAAAAACACACCACCCTTCAAAAACAATCCCATTTGCTGAATGTAATGAACTGCCCCAAGGGGCTGCTCGGACTCCCAGACTGGAGCCCTGGGCACCCGTGAGGCCCCCGCTGGAGCCAGTGCCCCAGGACGAGCCCCGCATGGCGCCAGTGCCCAAGGGAACAGGGGCGGCTTCAACGAGGGCCCTGGCGCAAAACGCAGCCGCTCTCCTGTCGGCTGCTTCCCGAGGGGAGCTCGTGTGTCTAGGATTAACCCCAAGAGAATGCTTGCCTAAACACCAAGGTAGAAATGCCGTGAGACAACCCCAAAAAACACCCAGGGTAAAATATATATAGGAGACAGGGGGACAATCCCATACAGCAAAGACAAAGCGCTCCCAGGGCTTTAACATTTATCAATCTCCTTCTGCTAATGTGTCTACATTACCGTCATCGGAGCAGGTTGAGGAACTAAATCCATTCCCTGTGAGGAACCGAGTTTGCCAGAAACCTGCTCCTTTTTCCATACGTTTGTGATTTTGGCTCTGGAAAGGCCTCCGCATTATCCTGGACCAGCTCAGTCAGCGCAGGGCCACTTGGAGCTCTGAAGTCCTGGAGGCCCGGCCGACGGCGCCGCTTCGCCTGTCACCCTGCCGGGAGACGCTCGTCCGGCAACACTCTGCTCCTCCACGGGACATAAAACGAGCAAACCTCCTTCCTGAGCGGGATGTGCTTGGGAATTAAAAACAAAAAAAGGAAAAAAAAAAAGAAAACAAACCTTCAAAGGGCTCCTTCAAAAGCAAAAAAGAAAGGAAAAGAAAACATAAAATTTAAGACTGCAGGGGAAAAAATAGTCAAGAGATACAAACGCATCTCACTGTATTTGTGCTGGGCTTTGCCAAGGAAAAGATGGAACTGCGATTCCTCACATGGCTCAGACGGGGAAAAGCTGTTTCTACTTCAGCCCAGGACCAGTCTGCAGATGAACCTGGGGCCACCCAGTCGGTGGAGGGACCTGGGCGCCACGGCCGGGAGGCCCCGCGCGCGTTTACAGCCTTGGCGCCTCGCAGGATGGAGCGGGGCCGGCGCTCGTCCTTGTCACCCCCAGCCGGAGCTGCTGCCA